TTGTTACATATTTTTCGATGCTTTTAAAAATATGTCCTTTATCACATCATTCCACTGGCGGACCCACATGGGGTCATGTGGGGTCAAATGACCCCACAATTTTTTATTTTTTTTTGAGTTTTCCTCTTTGAATTTTTTTTTTACCTAAATATTTTTGAATTTTCATTTTTGACCCACAAAAAAATGGTCTCGATCCGTCCCTGCCTCATTCCTCCACCTCTTTCTTAGAATTTGTATTTTGAAATGTCAACAACATAATTCATAAAGAAAATTAAGAAGTGTTGAATCCTAGATGGTGAACGTTTCATGGACTTTTCAACTTGAGAAATCAAATCAAAGATTAAAAGGACGAACCAACTCTTTCAAGAAATTAAGGTAATCAACTTGCAACCAATGATTAGCGTCCACGTAGGATTCATCACTTTTTGCAGATAAGGCCGCTGCAATACAAGGAAAGACCGGTAACTTTTCATCTAAACCTTTACATAGGACCATGCAATTATTCGCGTGTTAAATATCTTGAATAATACTATTGATATCTCATGACAACATCTGTAAGTACAATAATCTGTAAGTGGTGTTGTACATCTAGCATAATCGTACTTCGTACACGTACGTACAACGAATGACTTTCTAGTGTGTTATTCTTGCATTTCGAATACGAAGTCCCGTGCACAATTTTAGACAAACGTGGCATTGAGATATTAATTGCTTATGATATTTGTACACATTTTGAACCGGGTGTATAACTCGAGTTCAAATATAAATTACTTGTATCTTAATTTATGCTCTACCGGACATTACTTTCATTTGTTTGGGTAACTTGTCTTACATTTTTGTTTCATCACCTCTTAATCTAACATTCTCACTTATTTTAATTTCGACCAATGAATGATGTCCTCTTTAAATCCCATCAATGTCTTAACAAATAATTATTTTTCTTACCTAACCTTTCTTTCTTTTAGGGATCTTTTCACATAAGTTATTGTTTTTTATTAAAGTTTTTCCTTAGGTTTTTTTTTTTGTTTTGTTAATAATCGAATCTAAATATCGAGAACAATCTATTTTAAATACGATCAAATTGAATAAGAAAAGAAAGAAAGAATACCCACACCACAATTCACAATTGATCAAAATCAAATTAATGTAATCCTCAAGAAATATTGCCAGAAGAAGAAATAAAAGAAACAACAAAAGGGGAAATTCCTTAAGAAAGACGACATGAAATCCTCAAAAGGGCACAACAATTATTAATATTATCTTATGTTGTTGAATTGGGAAAGCAGCAAGTGGATAACATTTTTTTATTCCTGCCAGTGGGTTAAATGATTAAAAGATTTTTGTGTATGTTTCAATTATTTATTTATTAATAAATATTATAACAAAAAATTATGTGAAGTTGATAGTAGTTGTCGGCAGGGGTACGTTGTTTTAATGCTGCAAGGAGACGTGGCCTCTTCTCCTCCTTTCGTACCAAGATTTTACTCCACTTTAGCCATGTCTTCTACTTTATTATCCAAAATGCCCTTCTTGCCAGTTGCTCACGTGGGTTTTATTCGGGCCGGGTCAAACTTTCATGGGCTTCTTAAGGGAGTGGTCCATTAGAATTTCTTTTAGAATAGATTCGAACAGAATACATATTGTGAGAAACTCTGTCCATAGTTTTAAACTGTTACTTATCTTTTTAGCTTGATCTCTTCAAAACCAGAAAGAAAAATGGAACTTCACTGATTTAACAAGAAAACTAACTCACTGGAAACCTTTAAAACAAATATATAGATGCAAAACAACATCAAATCAGAATTTGAATACAAGATAACCACCAATTTTGCCGATTATATAGCAAAAGATTAGGTATTAGTACTACAACTACCAATAGTCTCCACAGGAGCAGTAGCCACCACGAAAATGATGGAACCTGTTGGTGTCTCTCAAGATGATTTCCCTGTTCTCCACCACTGATACAAACTTGAATGCTGTGTGGCAATCACCACAAACTCTAATGTTCTTCTTGATCCTGATGGGGGATCCTGGTGGAGTGTTGAGAAGTGCAAATGCTAGAGCGAGTTTCTCGCTATGATTTTGCAACCTCTCCTCTCTCTCTTGCTGGTCGGCACCCCACAGCACATGAGTAGTATCTGGGACATATCCAATTTTCTTGATTTTATCGGCGATTTCCTCCCACATTCTACGAATCACCTCTCTCTGTGGATGTGTAATATCATTTGCCACGAAAATGTGTACAGCATTCTCGAGCTCCACCCAACTACAAGCAGGTTCCTTCTTCACCCCACTTTCGTTCATCATCTTCCTCACTTTTGCAGCATCACTCCATCTACCAGCAGAGGCATAGATGTTAGAGAGCAACACATGGGGACCTGAATCATAGGGGTCGAGTTCAAATACACGTTCTGCAGCATAAGCACCCAACTCCATATTCTTGTGCATCCTACAAGCTCCAAGAAGCGCTTTCCAAATGACGGCAGTGGGTTCAATTGTCATTTCTTGTATGAACCTTACAGAACGATCAAGTTGGCCTGCCCGACCAAGTAAATCAACAACTGTGACATAATGTGAAACCTCTGGCTCTATCTTGAATTTCTTCATCAGTTCAAAATAATACAACCCTTTATCCAAAAGCCCAGCATGGCTGCAAGCATTGAGCACACAAAGGAAAGTAATTTCATTAGGATGAAATCCCATCCTACGCAAATCCTCGAAACATTCTATAGTTTCCTTCCCAAGTCCATGCTGAGCATAAGCAGTAAGCATTGAATTCCATGAAACCAAGTCGCGCTTGGCCAGCCGATCAAAAACCTTCTTTGCATCCTCAATATTGCCTGCCTTACCATACATATCAAGAAGAGTATTCCCAACAAAAGCAATAAGCTTCAGCCCTGATTTCACCATATCAGCATGCACCCATTTTCCCTGCTCTAAAGCTCCGGTACTTGCACACGCCACAAAAACACTAGAATACGTAAAATGGGTTGGCTCAAAACCATCCCTTTTCATCTCCGAGAACAGTCTCACTGCACTCTCTCCCTCGCCTTTCCTTGCATAAGCAGCTATAACAGCATTCCAGGAAACCTCATTCTTTCTCTCCAGCCTACCAAACATGGCTTGTGCCTCCTCCATTTGTCCACACCTTGCATACATATCGACCAATGCACTCCCCACATAAACATTCTCCTCGTACCTGCATTTCACACAGGTCGCGTGAATTCCCCTCCCCATCACATCATTCTGCAAACTCCCAGCAGCCTTCAGAACACTCCCTAAAGTGAACTGATTCGGCTTTAACCCCATCCTCACCATCTCCAAAAAAAACTCAAACGCTTTCTCCGACTCATTATTCTGTGAATACCCAGTGATCAACGCAGTATAAGAAACCATATCCCTTTCAGGCATTTCATCAAACACTTTACGCGCCAAATTCAAATAATCACATTTGGCATACATATTTATTAGCGTATTATGCGTAACAACATAATGATTAAACTTTGAGTTGGCAAAATGAGTATGAATCATCTTGCCTTCTTCGAGCTTGCCCAGCTCAGTACACCTCTTGAGAAGCTGATTATACAATCTAGCGTCGGGTTCCATTGCGCCACGGTCAATTAAGTCGAGTACAAGTAGTTTACCATTGTGGGTCTTTTTTAGAAGGTCTTTGTGTTGGATAACACCGGATACTTGATCGGAATCTTTGTTCTCTTCTGCTTCTGAGTCTTCAATCAATGGGCACGGGGAGATTGACACTGCTGTGGAGACGAAACTGCGGGAAAAGACTGAAAGGAGGGATCTGATCCGAATAACTGGTGCAGTTGATCGGATGATTGAATGGTGTGATAATTTTTTCATGTATGCTGAAAGATGGGTAGTTTTGGAGGGTAATTCTTGAAGAAACTGGTTTCAACTCGGTTGATTTTAGTCCTCAGAGATCTAAACTGATATCCATTTGCATGTAATTCAATCCAAAAAACCAGATCAGAATTCATCAATTCTTTCCAATTTGATGCCTACAATGTTATTCTTCAACTGCCTTTGAAATGTGCGGGTTGGACAGGCAGAATAATTATTTGTATAAAAATAAGTTAAAATTTACCTTTATTTTTTTAAAAAATTAAGCCAATATCAATAATTAATTTTAACTATCCATTTCACAGAATTCATAATTTTTATCAACTTTTCAACCACGCATTTAATCAAAACTACTATAATTTGATTTTCGGCTAAACCAAACGGGGCAAAATATGTTAGGGCAAGTAACAAACAAACTTTAAACGTTACCTTAACCAAATAAGTGACTTTAACAGTAAACTTTAAATTTTTAAGCACAGCCAAACATACTTCGCAACTGAGCTTATAGAAACGTTCAATATATTTTAGCAGTTCATCAAGAGAGTGAGACTATGAGTTAAGTATAACAGTAAAGTAACAAAATATTACTGCACTAACAATAATACATTCATTATAAATCATTAAGATCATGCCAATACTAGATCGAAATGAGATGGTATTCTTATCCATCCCAAAAGAGCAGTTTCAAGGATTTGATGCCATCGTATATAGAGAATATAATACAACCTCTGTTCTTTCGCGGTCTTCTTTCGTACACAAGAAAAAAATTTACATATCTAAGATTCATTCATGTAAACTCAAAGGCTGTATGAGTAATAGCTATAAAACCCAGACTTAAAAGAGTAATCAACACAATAATGCTACTACAAGTATTCGCCTTCATACCTTTCTTTTGAAAAGCTACGTCGCAAAAGCAACAATGAACTTCCAATCCACACCCTATTAGCATATTGAGATAGATGCTCGTCCTTCTTCTGTACAACACGAGCAACTCCTTTGGCCAAAAATAAAATGGCCTATCACCATGGTAGTGCCATCTTGGTTGTCAGAGAAGTATGTACCCGTGTTGCTAGTGAGGAAGAACTTTAAGGGACTGCTGCCAGAGAAGATGTCTAGAACTTAGTAATGTCACTTGACTTTCACCTTCTTCTACCGTAATAATGCCCACCACCAGAATGATATAAATTCCGGTGGCGCGATCCAGAAGTTCGGCCATGCCCTTCCCATGTGTGGCCGCGGTTCACAGCTCTGCCTCCACCACTTGGTGTCCACCCAGGTGCCTGGGTCCCTCCATTGAGTTCCTCCTCTTCTCTATCATTGTACTCTAAGACGCGCCTTTTGATATCTTGTTTTTCTTCAAGCTCAGCTGCTTCTTTCTGCTTTGTGCTCTGTACCAGGACCCAATCGCGAGGAACTTGCATTTGCTTTGTTTGTTGTTTGTTTCCCCGCTTCACAAGGACCTTCACCCGAACCTCCTTCGTTCCTCCAGCCCCATCATCTGTGGTGTCATCACCACTTTCTCCTTCAACCCCCCTCCCATGATGTTCCTTGGTAGGGCCCTCAAACACATTCATTGGTATCATCATGTTTAATGTAGGCCGTGATCGCAGCTCCAATTTTCGGGAATCCAAGCTCTCCTGCACTCATCGAATAGACCATGTTACTTCAATCATAATCCCTTCAACATTCTATCACTTGCATTATTGAACAGTGTCAATTATTCATCTCTATGATATTTTGAATTTTTGAGTGCATTATCCAAACTGAATAATTGAAACAGTGTCCATTAATCCTCTCTACCATGTTCCAAGTAAATTCTTCAGACTCCAATGGGAAAAGTAAAGGTGAAAATGTTACACTGAACACATTTTATTCTCTGTTTGCAATGCAGCACATTTTATGGTTCAACCATGTTTTATTTGTAGTGTGTTAATCAACAAAATTTTAGAAAAATACAGAGTTCCTATACCACTTGCCTGCATTAGAGCACGAAATTCTCGGTCAAAGTCGGCTACCTCCTGAGGGTCCACTTCTGCCACCTTCTGCCTGACGTGCACTTCATCATCCTCATCAGAAGCAGGTTCACCTCCATCTTCATAATCATCATCACTTTCGCCTTCATTATCTTCATCTGACTCTTCATCGTCATTATCAACGTGCTCAGTGGTGCCACTCCCAGATTCACTATCGGTCTCCCCAGCAAACTCTTCATGTAATTCACCATTTTCCTCCGTGCCATTTGCAAGGATTTGTCCATTCACAGATAGAGCACCAGATGAAGTCCTTCTAGGAGGCTTTTCTGTATCTGAAAGCTTATCGTTGTGAGCCTTCTCAGATGAAACTCTGAGCTCATATTCTTCAAGTTCAATTAGCGCAGCATTAACTTCTTCAATTGATAAATATCGAATCATGTTGGGGCGTAATTCAGCAAATAAATCCTGCATCAATTCATAGCTCAGTAATGGTTATATTGTAGAAAAACATAAAAAGAAAAGAAACAGTTGTAATAAATAAGGTAAATCTAGATCATATGCCATCCATAATTGAAATCCAATCATTTGCTCTCAGATTAATTGGGACTGTAAGAGAAATGATAGCCTAACTCCAAAATCCTCATCCAATATCCATATGGCATTTTACAAAAGTTATACATACATCTCCTGGTGGACTTGTCGAAGGAAAGGGGAGCAGACACTATGCATTCTCAGTTCTATGACAAACAATAGGCACTTCTCGTACCACTTCAGGGAAGTCCTTCCATTCCTATTTTCTCTAGCCACAAAGCATACAAGTAACTATTTCATCTATACTAACCAGAGCAGATCATATCTTTCTAGAAATCGTACTCATCTTGAAGCAGTTTGGTAATCAAAGAAACCCATCTTATTTAACAAGTAACGTGAGGCAATTTCATGATTCGTATTCAATCAAAGTCCACAACTGCTACACCTATATTTACGCATATATGGCATCCAAGATACTTTATGCTTTATCAGTTTATTGTTTGTGTCATTACTTACAAATTAAATAGAAGTTTTCTTACTATAAGTTTGCCTGTTCATAGAAGGTCAAAAGCAGAGCATCTAGTTTAATTTTGGTTTATATTATCAAAGGATGAAGAGGATAGTTACACGGGTTACCATAAGTTTGTTGTAAAAAACATTATCTAATTCAACCAAAACAAAGGAAAAAATGCACAAGTTGTTTATTCATCAATACCTGTGTTGAAATCCAAAAGTTTCTCGTTGCATGTTAGTTTCTATATAAGTAGATTATAAAAACCTAAACTTGTGGGTGCGCCAGGTTTGAATACTTAACTCACAAACAGAATTAACGAAAGAAAGGAAATAAAAATTGAGCTCAAACCTGCAAGTCAAACTCAATATCCAGGGGCAGTGCACCTTTGCTTAATATGTACCTCTGGAAATGAACTAAGAACCGATCAAGTTTCCTCTTCGATGAACCTCTATCAAAATAATGCCCACAAGTCTCAAGAAGTGTTATAACCATCCTGATGCGGAAACAATCTTCTGGTGGATCCAACATATCTTGCTAATATCATCATAGCAAAGTGCCGGGTTAGACAATGGCTACAACTCAAACTTATCTTTACAAAATGTAATGCAACAATAATGGTAATACAAATATTGTACTCGAACTTAAGACTGCACCTTTTGAACTCAATCACGAGAAGTGACGCCAAAGCATCAAATTCACCAAATAGGCATCACATCATAAACAAAATGAATTTTTATTTTAGAAGAGAAAAATAATCTATGGTTGTATTCAATTTGGTGGAACAATTTGTACGAAACTCTTTATAAGTCTATTATATGAAAGTCTCAAGATCATGAGAAAGATAAAATCAGAAAAAAAAATATATCACAACTTGGTGAATTTGAAATCTAGCCATCAACCCTGCTACTCAAGTAAACCTCCATAGTTTCAGCCACAAACCTAAACAGAACCCTCCCCCAATTAGATGCATAAAGAAATTCTTCCAAGAAGAAATGGAAATAACAACAAATACCTCCATAGTTTCAGCCACAAACCAACCAGAACCCTCCCCCAATTAGATGCATAAAGAAATTCTACCAAGAAGAAATGGAAATAACAACAATGTAAATTAGAAGGCTGAGCAATAATCAGGCATGAGTATTACGGAGGCTTTGGGAATGTGATACCAGAAAGGGGATTCATTTTAATCAGGGTAGTGTTAGTAAAATGGAATGGAGCAAGGGCATGTGGCGAAACTTACACTTCGTGATCATATACGAAACTCTTTATAAGTCTATTATATGAAAGTCTCAAGATCATGAGAAAGATAAAATTAGAAAAAAAATCTACAACTTGGTGAATTTGAAATCTAGCCATCAACCCTGCTACTCAAGTAAACCTCCATAGTTTCAGCCACAAACCCAAACAGAACCCTCCCCCAATTAGATGCATAAAGAAATTCTTCCAAGAAGAAATGGAAATAACAACAATGTAAATTAGAAGGTTGAGCAATAATCAGGCATGAGTATTACGGAGACTTTGGGAATGTGATTCCAGAGGGGATTCATTCTAATCAGGGTAGTTTTAGTAAAATGGAATCGAGCAAGGGCATGTCGTGAAAAGAACTTGGAAGGTACTGTACACTTCATGATCATATCATTTTCCAAGCAAAAAAGGGCAAAAAAGAGCCAGGGAGAGTTCTCCATGAATCAAGCAAGCCAAAACAACAAGAAAAATTCAAATTTCTTGGATGTAAATATGTAATTTAAACCCTTAATAAATCCATACCTCCGCAGTCCCATGGCTAAAAACGAGAATCAGATAGAGTGTATCAAAAATAACAGATGAATCGACAAGCTCATAGTTGTATAATTCCCCCAAGAAACGCATGTGGGCAATGCGCTGTTGCTGCATACCATAGTCATTCAACTCTAATCCGAGCCTGATTTCTTCCAAAACCTGAAAAAAAAAAATGACTCAAGACTTTCAAATTCAAGTCAAGCAAAACATGCTTTTCCTTTTCCTGTTTCTAACATATTCGCCAAAAGATAAGCCAAATGTGTAAGAAAACCACAACAATTATCATTGTAAAAAATTTATGCAATAAGTTTTAAGGATTTAAATAGAATCTCAGTCGAAAAGATTTACCTCACAGTCAAATGACCAAAAAGGCAAAAATAGTACAGAATAAAATCAATACAAGTAAGAAAATGCTATAAAGCTTTTAGTATTTAAGTTAAAAATGGATTACTAAACTACGAAGTTTTTGATTTGTGGATGATAGGTTCATAATTGCAAATCATTATAAAAAAATTCAAGACCTCGTGTACTGACCTCCACACTTTAATCTGAACATGAAATAAAACGTATGGTAAAATCTGAAATTATTCAATCTCAAGTCCAACAATTTAGCCTTGTTTGTGAAGAATTTATAAACGGTTTAATTTATATATGGATACAAATGAGTGGTGGATAGTCCTTATGAGTCAATTAAAATGTGGTTGAAAATGAAGTTCGACCAATTTATAAATATTTATAAATTTGCCAAAAAGAGGATTAATTTAGCGTATCATTCACTGTCTCTAATAAAATGAACAGTTACCTACTTTAAAAAGAAATTAATTACCAGTTTGGCAACCAATTTATAAACACAATCCCAGTCAAACATTAATTTCAACCCACATTCATACCTACTACTCATTTATTATTCACACATTTCATAGGACTCCCTAACGTTACTCTATATAAATTCGCCAAACGGAGTACAAAAAATAGTGGCATTATTTTTCAATCCTAAGGTGCTTATCTGACCCTTCAAGCTGGCAATTATTAACAAGCCTGCCAACAAAAATCTACCACCACCTAGTTAAGCCATCGAGATAAGATCCAGTTCTAAATGGAACCTGTAAATAAAGTTCACAGGGTAACTCAAGCATCACTAGCATTATCTAATCTACTGTTAAATATTGTTAATCAAGAATAAAGACTAATGGGGTAGTACTGGGGAAGGTGTCCCATAATATACAAAACTATTGCTACAGCGCTGGAGGCTTCTTGTATCTCTTTTGAGCATAAGTAGCAAGCTTGCCTGTGAATCTCAGAAGGAGAAAGACCACAAGCACAAATTACTGGAAGCTCGCTTACAGCAAGATTGAGAAAATTGCTAATATCTCAAAAATGGAGAAAGCAGCTTTCATATCGTGAACAGGATTTTGGAAGACAAGTATAATTATTATTTCAGTATTAACATGTTTTCAAAGTGCACGACAAAATCACAGGTAAAAGAATCAGGGAGGGTGAAGGGTACTATTTTTCACTTTTCTACCTTTTCCTGCTATTTCATTTTTCTTTCATTCAAAGAAACATTATGAAATAAAATTTGCGGAATTTTGACACCAAATTTAGATACTGAACAACAAACCTCATCAACAACAGCAACTGCAAAGTCATCATGATAACGACTCAGACCAGCAGTGAGGGATGCAATCAAATGAATCTGACCATATTTTCCCTTATGAACCTTCAAGAAACACTTCAAAATGTACGGTTCACATTCAGTCCAAGGTAGTTTACGTAACTGTCTCAGTACATGCTCAATCGTAGACTTGTCAAGATCCGAAAAAAGAAGTTTCCTAATGTACTGCAAATTTCACCATAGAGAAGGTTAACACTCTATTCAGTCAGATTGTACAGCAAAGTCACAGATCCAAAAAGTATGACTACCTGATGCAGTGGAGGACGAACTTTGGAGACCCGGGCTGATCTTTCTGGTGGTTTGCACAAGTAATAAGCATTCTCTGCTAAAGTGCTCTGACGAGGATCCAAATTTTTGACATTTTTCAAGCGCATCAATATCTCTAACATGTTAGACATGCGTACAGTAGTCTCAGGAGACCGATAGAGGAAGCGACCGCATGTCTCAAGAAGATTGCAAGCAACATCAATATTATGATGAGTAAAATCATCTAAACAAGCCTGATACAAGTGAAACAAGTCCATTCAGTAAGGAACTAAATAGCCAAATTACTGATGATATGTCTAGTTCAGGACAAATATAAAAGACCAATCAATGATGCCCTCATCGGATGTCAACCATGCAGCATAAAATTCACTCATAATGCCCAATACACTACAGTGATGGATATAAGCTTTCCTGCACAATGTTGTGAATGTGTGGGTCCCTGGAGGGAGGGGAGAACAAGTTATGTAAATGGGCGCGCATGACTTAAAACGTGGAGTAAATTGTGTATGTTGTGTGCACGTGAGATAGGATAGAGACTGAGCAAACCCACAAAATTTCAGGAACAGTAACCTGGCAATATTTATCAAATACTTTGTTATCATACCTTTAGACAACTGAAAACAAGGCCCGCTGATGCAATTTTAAACTTGCAAAGTTCTCCAATAAAACGTATGTTCCTGATCTTTGTTTCAATGTTCATTTGATCCTGAAATCAAAGAACAAAAAGGCGATAAAATAATTAATAGTGTGTGATCGACAAAAAATCAATAAACAGAGTAATGCGTGTAAAAGGGCTTTTTTAACCTTCTTATTTATTAAAAAGTTGAACTCTTCCTCCAACAACTGTAAAAGCATGGAACAGATATCCTTCATACAAGTTGACAGCGTGGCAACCATTCGTGAATAGTATGGCAACAGCTCAAGAGATGTCCTAGGAACATTGAACAAAGCCCTCACAAGCTTTTTCCTGTTGGCCTTCGAGTTTAAATAGCAAAACTCTACCTGAAAAATTAGTATTCTAATAATAAGAGCTTCAATTAAAAATGTATTTGTTGCAAATGAAAAGTAAATATACATGAAAGCTTGAACAAGAAGGATGGTTACAGTCAACTGATCAATCAAGTCACGGCTCACACAGCTTGGGAGCCTCTGTAGCAAAGCATCAAGATTTGTTCCTTCAAGACCTTTAACTTTGTCCTTTTCATTTTCTCCTCTTCTTTCAGCATCCTTTTCTTTTCCCTTCTCTTTGTCAGGCTCTTTGGTCCTTTCTTTGTCTTTTTCTTCTTTATCCTTCCCTTTGCTATCTTTATCCTCCTGTAAGGCTCCAGAATCAGCAGAAACCTCTGCAGTATCTTGAGTAGCTATCTGACCTTTATCTGATTCAGGAGCCAGATCCTTCGTATAGAAATTTCCATGTTAGTGAATAGAGAAATATATCTACAAAAAAAATTCAGAAGTTATAACTGAACCCAGGGGAAGTTAAAAATGCATCATATGCTTATGGCCATATATTATTATAACCAGCAGCATTTTCAGTAAGTCGCCTAAGTACAAGTTTTCAATATAAAGTCCACTATGGATGGGTAAAATGTACAGCATAAACTGGAAGTAAAACCACAATTACAAGCTTACCATACACAGTGTGTAATAGCTATCTCCAATTGTTGACACAAATCTTAAATAGACATTCATTGTTAAGACAATTCTACTGATTTTTTATATTGCACTTCCACTTGACGTTTTAGAAAAGGCCCTTAAAATTGCAGGTGCCCCTCATTTGTTCCAACCCACTTCCCCCGAAAACCTCCAAACCAGAGGAAAATCCTTGGTAAAGAAGAGATAAACTTAAGATCATTTTTCCAACCTAGAAATTCTCAAAGAACCAACAAGAGTTCACTGGCACACTGAAGTATTAGCAAAAACTTATAGTGGCATATATCATCACTTACTTTTGGTGTATAATAACTTTCAATATCACATTGTCAAAACTTTATTATGGAAAATATGTCAGAAGATGGATTTCCAAAATCTTTTTGAAGTTCAATCAAAACACTAAAAGTTGTGGACTAAGAGCAATGCTTATGTCTTACACTGGGTTGTTCTTGAGTTTTTGGAGATTGCTCGTTCGACTTTGGTTCTGCCTCTCCCAACAACACAGCTGGAACGAAGGCTCTAGAAAGAAAAAAAATTATATAATCAATCTTCCTCATTTGATTTAAGGATCAACGATAAATTCAGTTCAGCCAAAGTTCAACCTGAGATCTGGCAGGCACTCGTAGAAAGCTCTAGTATCTTCATCATCCCACAAGGCTTCCAGAGAAGAAGTATCTTTGCCAACACCAGGAGACGAAACATCCTCCCCTGATGTGACTCTGGTCGTATGACCATCCTCAGGCAACACTGGAGGTTGCATGTCAAGTGCTTCTGCTAATCTAAAGTGTAAAGAATTATAAATTTAGTAAATGTAAAAGAAACAGCTACGAAAATCATAGATGCAAGCACATACCTAGAGGACCACCATCCACAAGAAAGTTGATAAAATATATGGCACAAAACAATCAGCAGGAAGAGGCAACAAAGCATGCAAGAAAAATATGTTAGCAAGAAATGGTACACATGCTGAAGTAAACCTCATGAGACCAAAAATAAAAATGAAGACTCCAGCTGAATATAGTTGAGTTCATGTTTATAATTAAAAAAAAAAAGGGAGGAAGGTTCCCAAGGAGGTTTTCAAAGTATTTTGCAAATGTTACTGGGACCCATGTATAATCAGACTGCTCATACCACTTTTGGCCCATTTTCAAAAATTTCCACGGATTGGTAGACTTTTCAACTAAGAAAATAACTCCAACAAACGCCCTCTTCATACCAAATGCCTTGAGTCAAATAATCGGCATTTTACCTCTGCTCTCAACTTTGAATCTCCTCTGACATGCCACTACACTTGTGTCTTCAAGTCAAGTTAGAAATTGTTATCCATGCAAGGCAATCATTTTGATCTCCCAATTCCTCATGTCAGCGAATTCCTCTTACTTTTTCTTTGTGAACTCTATACCACCCTCTATCCTTGATGAATGTCTTTGAGAAATTTTGGAATATCGTGACTCAATGTCCTCTATATCCAAAATAATCGTTATACTTCTCCAAACTATGCTAACCAAAATGATCCCACCTTTATGGTTCACAGCCATTTCAAACTGAAAAGGCAAGGCTTCACTTATCAATTTATGTTATCAATTTATGTCATGCATTAAGGTTAACTGCAGAACTGTACAAGGACTAGTGCCAAGTCAAACCAAGGTATTCAATTTGGACTGGATGAGCATTTTCTTATTATTTTCTCTTTTGATGTCTCCATTTTCTCCTCCCTTCTATTATTTCCTTCTTTTCTTGTTCACAAGGGTGACCTTTCAATCCCAAACGAAAAAAATTGAGCACATGCGTCCCTTTATGCACAGCAGAAAATACAGTTATAAATTAGAGATCATCCTTCTCTACTGCTCAGTGCTCTACTGGCATGCCCCTGATGTTAGCATGTCAACATCATCCCCAGTTTTAATGGATATTATATAACTGTAGTCCACCACTTCCTTTCAAAATCTCCAATAAAATTTTTGATACATGTGATATTGGTGCGTGGTTATTTATATATATGATGAATAACATATCACAAGGAAGCCGATATATGATACTGAGAGCCTCATTCATTAATAATTTTTTTTTGTAGAAACTACTAATAACCAGGCTGAAGCTTAAAAATTAGTTTATGTGGTCTAGGCAACTATCAGATCTCTCAAGGGGGTTAACTTCATATCTTAAAATGGTTTCGTGCAAACATTTTGAACTTCAAGTTTCTAAAATAGAATACGGGAACCGCTGCTTTGCTGTGCTCGATATAGATATAGGTTGATGAATAAAGGTTGTCAACAGACAATGCCGACCAGTTTAAGTTGGGTTGTTGAATGTGCCTATCGCAAACAAGGCTAACCATTTGGAAAAGGTGTAAAGATGAGCAAAGTTACTCCCATGTTGCTCTAGCTTAGCTCGGCATTATGGCTCAAATCAACTGAATTTTATTGAGTACGACCCCTATCTGAGTCTCAGATAGCTTAAAATAAGTACTTGATTCATCTTGTTGAGTAGAGCCCCTACATTAATGTCAGAGTTTTAATGATCTCAAGTCAATTCTCAAAGTCCAGCTATCTGAAAGAAATTGAGCTCAAGAACATAGCTGGACCCTTCATGCTCAAGATCACACCCGATTTCTGATACTTAAATTTGCCAACACCTTCTGTGGATGCAAACTAATATCAGGTTCACAGAGATAGAAATAGTATGCCAACTTAGTCTCGAAAAAGTCCACACAATAGTAACTAATGTAAGGTTCACAAGCACTGTATAACAAACTTAACAAATATGTCCAGAAAGATCAGGTCAAGTAACTTACGATGAGATACCACGATACAGTTGGTCATATGATTTTCTCAGCTTTTCGTATGAAGAGGCGTTTTCTTCACTCAGTTCACCTTTAGCATTTAAAATCTTCGCATTATCATGCTCCATTTGGTGAAGTGACTTCCATTTGGGAGAGGAAAATAATTCCATTAGTAAAAGAACTATGGCATGCATGAATATTAAATTGCCTCGCCAAATAACTATGAATGCAGAAATTGACATTACAAAAAACCAATTTCGAAATCAAATCTAACACAAGATCCAGGTGCAAAGGAATAAAGTTCTTACTGCATGTTCTGCCTGAAGTAGTTCTACAGCAGCGTCATAGTAGGTTAAAAATGCCTTTCTAAAGAATTTTTTCTGTTCTGCTGTAATATTAAGTCCCTGGAAAAACTGCAAATATATATATATATTGGCATGAGTACATAAAAAAGAGCAACTAAATTATTAAATAACTATGAAAACTCTATAATTGAATTCAATGCAGCCCAACTTCAAAACCAATATCTCATATGACACAAACAAAACCAACATGGACTCGTCTTTTTAGAGACGTCACTATCATCGCAAATGCCACATTGATAACTATCTAACATTTCTTTTTAAAGACAGACCATAGCACTGAACTTTTTCCAACATGGAGAGAGAGAGAGCCAGGGTAACAACCCATGTACAAAAACAAGTGACAGGTATTCTACTACCGACAATAAAAGAATAAAACAAAGCTCCTTATAATTAGATGAAATGTACATGCCTAAAATGATACAGAAGATTTATTATCGTATTTTAATAACAGAAATTAAATTTCACTGCTTCCATGAAATATCCTGTAGAAATGAAATCATTTCAGCTCAGGGCCCCACCTCACTACCAAGATGAAAATGTGCAAGCAACATATTCAAAGAACTAAGAAAGAACTGTAAAAGATATATTTAACAAATGCACTATGAAAGCCCACACTTAATAAAGTATTAACAAAATTGAACCTCTTCCAGCATATCTTGTCCAGTCAGAGGCAGTCCAAGAAGATATCTTCCTTGTCGAGCAAAACTAGCAAGAAGGGATAAATTTGTCTGGGTTGCATCACGATCCTTAAAATGTTCCGTGCTAGTGAGATCCTTAATGATGTTTGTAAACATGCTGCTATCTTCTACAACTCCAACAAAGTAAAGTTCCAATAGAAGTTTTAGTGTGCTCCGCTTCTTCATGGCCTTTGAATTTTTGTCTCCATCTAAGTCCTCGGTGGACTTTCCAGGTAAGAAAATTTTCAAGAGACCTTGAACCAGACTAGATGAGAAGTCTTTGTACCTTTGATGAAGTAAAGAGCAGATCTGATACAGGAAAAAATCTATTAAAAATAATGGAAAAGGGATCTTAAAATACAGTGGAGAGCAAGGTGCATGTAATACACATGGTACATAACAATAGAACGTCCAGTAAATAGTATGTTTCTCTCTCTCTTGGCAAGCAAAGATTTCATTTACTTTGTGCCGACTGCACACAAGAAGAAACAAAATACAAAAATCGGTCGGAATAAATTCATAGCTAGTCTTTAATACAGATGAAGATAAGATGGTAGCCCTCTGATTCTGGCCCAACCAGACCTACAGGAAAACCATTTTGACTTCAACAAAAAAATTACGAAGTCAGAATATTCCCCAGATTTTCATTTCACGATGAGATGAGGTTTGTTGTCTGTTCAGTGAATGATATCAAGTTTAATATGTACAAAAGGATTGATAGTTCTTTTTTTATGCAAATCTCAAAAAGCTGACTATAACATCACAAACCTTCAAGCAGAACTCAACACCGGCAAGTCAAAATTGCAGCAAACAAGTTAGTACAGGTATTTGAAAGTTTTTTTGATAACTGTGGGTGTCCGAGTCAGGTTGCGCGCACCTCCACTAATCCCACGAGGCCTGAGGTTTACGGTCGGGTACTCACCTCAGTGGCCCTGAGGGAACTCGAATGGTACAGGTATTTGAAAGTGGAGAATAAGAAATATATAAGAAGGAACTAACCATGGTTTAGCACACTAAAACAGTTCTGCCAAAATAGAAATAAGTTCAACATAGTACATCTATTTGAAATTAGGAGAACAGGAGAACATATAAGCAGGAATTAACCATGGTTTAGCAAACTAAAACAGTTCTACTAAAATAGTCAGAAGTTCATCATAGTATTATTATATAGTCAATGCATTCAGGACCATTGCTGGTGTATGGCCTTTAAAGCTTAATGCCTATTCCAGTTGCACACTTAATTTTTTACAATTTCCCAGGTAGACTTACAGTTTAAATAATAATCAACTCAATCACTAGCTCTACCTGAACAGCAGCTTGTATGTCTGCAGTCTTAAGCTTCGCATCACAAATTGAAGTTACTGCTTCACTAACAAATTTGCTTAGGTTGACACCGCGCAACTCATCCATCAAACCTTCTCGCTGCTCCTCACTTATCTGCTTTAGTTTTTTAATAACAGCTGTATTGCGCTTAATGCTAGAATCCAATGTCCTGAGAAAACCTGAGTCTGCAATCAAGAAACGCTGAATCAATATTCATGCAAGAGGATGTCATATGCAACACTAAGCCTCCATTTGGGAAGATTTTAAGAACGGTTTAATTTATAAATCGATAGAAATGAGCGGTGCATAAGTGGATATTACTTGGGGGTCCCACGGAAAGTGTGGTTGAAAATGAAGATTCAATTTTAAAATGATCTACAAATTTTGCCAAACAGAGCCTAATATTTTCAATGTCTGGATCATGATTAAAATCTTTAGATATTGGACAAGGTTCTTAAACCATGTTCAACGTAGAAGGCCTAGCACTAGCACACTTATTCTGTCTCTGATTGCCTTCATTGGGCATTTATATGATTTTTATTTATTTATTTATTTTATTATTATTATTATTTTATTTTGTTGTACTTAAGAGCTCAATTAGAAATGGTAAATAGCGAGCAGGTTATAGTCTTCCTTTCCAAGACTGAGGAACTCCCAAGAGACTTCACATATGCTCCAGATAAACGAGTTCAAAAGGAAAAAACAGAGTCCTTATTGCAGAACCACAAATGAATTTGAAGATTTTTGTTAAGTTTTGGGGGTCATTATTCCATGAGGATTGTATTTTATCATGTTATGAGTTATAGCACTCAAAAAAGTTATGACACTTTGATTCGAAACACTTAGATGCTACTCCCTAAGACAAACAAAGAGAAGATAAAACACATTTGTGTTCGGTTCTAGAATCTCTGAAAGAAAAGCACTGACCAGGCCTTTCAGGGTTCGAATTACTCTGACGTAGCACCATTTTTGCTTCAACAGACTTCTTAAATTCTTCGAGACGAGCAACAGCTTCCTGCACCAAAAGAAATGTATCACGTGTCATTTTCTTGAGTGCTGAGAGTCTTAAATGCTAAAGTAGGCACTAAATAACTCTATTCTTACTCTCTATATTGTTTATTGGAAACAAAAAATCATCATCAACAGAAGAAAATAAGCTTATAGTCTAGTGTATACAATTTTATCAAAAACACCATTTCATTGAAGAAAATTTGGTACCAACGATATAAAAATTGTTACCAAGTGAATTAAATAGCCAATAACAAACTTATCTTCCTTCAATAACTTACAGTAAACAAATACACAACACAAATCTACAGCATGATAACATTGATAAGCAAAGCAGCAATCACATTGAGCCTATTACCAAGTGAATTAAATAGCCAAGAACAAATTTATCATCATTCAATAACTCACAAACAAATACATCATATAAAAAGGGGAAAAAAACTAAACTATCACAAATGTATCACCTCATCATCGTGTTTCTCCCGATGTTTGCCTACAATATCCTCAGTGTGTTCCATCTTGTTAATGTTATTCAAAAACAAATACCTGTGGAGAAAATAGAAGGATTACCAAGTGTGTCTCTAGATGTCAAAAGAAGTGACAAAAAATGGAGTAAAAAATCAAAATATATTGGAACAAAAAGAACGAGCGATATTGGATAGGCATCGTCTAGATGTTTGGTTTCAGATGATAGCCATGTTCTAAAATGCGCCAAAATGTGCCGCCTAGGCGCGACGTGGGTCGAAAACGCGTCGAATTCGGGAAATACGCGAAAAATGCGTTTTCCATCTAAAAGGCGGGAATAATGCACGCCTAGGGGCGCATTATCCCGCCTAATCCTGCAGGATAATGCGCGCCTAGGCATGCATGATCCAGCCTAATCCCTTGTTAAATTTTTTTTTTATGATATATTAAAAAATCTATTTTTTTTATAAAAATATATTTAATGCCTTAAAAATACAAAACGCATTATGGCGTTTATTCTTCGCATTGACACGCCTAAACTTGTGATTCTTAATTCTCGGTCTCGACGTATCGCAACGCATTACGCATTTTAAAACACTAGTGATATACTACCGTTATATATTTTCGTTCAATGAGCATGATATTGTTTATCATTATAGGCATTGAACAAGAATCAAGCTAAATTACACAACCCTATTTATTGTTTTTCACCTTCAGGCTTTAAGACAGCTAATTTACAGAACAAAAGTCACAAAATCCATTCCCTAGACCTCAAAATTTACTTTGAAACAAGTAAAAAAAATCTGAAGTATGATAACATTATCTAACCATCCAATTTTACAGAGAAAAATAATATAATTTTGCCTCAAATTTCATTATGCTCCGTAGCCAAATAACAAGTCTCCTTCGCATAATCCCTTCTGTTTTGTAGAATTCAAAAAGGACTTAGTGCTAACTGCTAACTCCAACATAATATTCCTAATGCATTATTCATATTTACATAAGGAATTTATTTAACCAGCATAAAATACAAAAGTAAAACAGAAATCGGAGATCAACTAACAAATATGATAAGTAAATTGTGTACGTTGAAATTGAACAAAAAAAAAAATGTGCCCAGATTGTTCGTATTATACAAGAACAAACTAGGTGAAATTTGAGGATAATAAAAGTAATTTACCTCGTGAGTTCCAAAGGTGAGATCTTGGAAGATGTTCGCCACAGAAAAGGTGAAAAATCAGTACTGGTTAGTACGTGTGTGCGAAAGAGAGAGAGAGACGAGGGTTCTTTGAGTTCTATTGAACTTCTGAATGGGAAACTGAATTTGTGAAAGAACTCGGCAAAGAAGAACCGACTCGGGTTCTGAGTCACGACTCATTTCGAATAACATAAAACAGTTAAGTAAAATTTTCATCTGAGGTCCCTAAACTTCTCAGAAAGTGTAAATTAGTTCCAAATATTTTTTTTCTGACAGCATAGACATTAGTTTTGAATAAATATAGGGCTTAGGGACCTTCAATGATTCCTAGCTTGTTAATTCAACCAGTGACTTAAATTTGAATATAATTAGCCCTTGTTTGATGCTATTATTTGAAAAAAAAATATTTTTAAATTGTGATTTTTAGGAAAGTATGTTGTTAAAAAATAGAAAAAAAATTTGAATTTACTTGAAGAATATTTTATTATATAAATGTGTGGTTGAAAATGAGTATATAGAAATATAGTTAAGATTTGCTGTCCAAAATTGATTGTCCAACTTACTGTCCACTAATGATTTATTTACACATAATTTTACACATATTTTTAATCATTGAAAATAAGTATATAGAAAAATAGTTTTCAAATAATAACCATCAAACATTGGCTTATAAAGGGTAAGCTGACAATTTTCCTTTAAAGGCAATTAAAATAATTCAAGAAAAAAAAAAAAGGAAAATTATTCATTTTCCTCTATGGTCATTCCAACCCTTTCTTAAAGTGGGACAACTATTACACTATTTTATTAAATTGAAATGCATTTTAACTCGTTAAAAAATGCAACGGTGACTCATTGGCTACTAAATCTCAAGCTAATAAATATTTATCAATCATGCTACATGAACAGATTCAATGACAGACTCAAAAATCGTAAGAACACGCATCCATTCATTATTTGACAGTTTGAAAAATAAAAGAAAAAAACATCCACACATCCACTGTCGACTCAGTCTGTTTATACTATTTCTGTTTTTTAGACTGGACAAGTGGCTTTATTCAATATTTATTGTACGGAGATAAAATTGTGGGACTTAAATTAATGAACTTTGACAACAAAATATTGATGCTGCTCCCCTATTACTTTTTTTTAATTCCTTTTGCTTTTTCCTTTTTTCGAACTCCTCGGACCTCGATATTGTTTTGAAATTGACCAAGACCTCGTTTGATTCTCATTATTCTAGAATGAGAATGAAAAATATAACTGTTATTGAGCCCCACACAAGATATAGACATTCAAAATTAATGGCTTGATGTGATAGATAACTATCATATTTTTCATTTTTATGGATGAAAATTGAGAATCAAAGGGTAGGAAAAAATTTGTATTAAATGATTTCTTTTTAAAGAATGGGTGAACATATCTTCGGTCTTCTTGAAAAAAAAAAAAGTCAGGGACAGTGTTATTTATTTATTCAAAAGTCAGGGATAATGTTGCCCAAAATGAAAGGTTTGAGATCCATTTGTACATTTTAAAAAAGGTTATGGTAACCCAGGCTTCCACAATTTTTCCTTTGCTAATTTATTACTATAATAAAAATTTATTTTTTTACTCAGACAAAAAAAAAAATATTTTCTCCCAAAAAAAAAAAAATTTCGAACGACAAGGATTCATAGTGAAAATGTTAAAATATGCGAGAAAATTTCAAATAATTTAAATAAAAAATGTGTTTGAATATTTTAGAAATTGAAAGAATTCTGCATCGTAATCTTAATTTTATAAAATTTAGTCAAAATTCTAATCAAATAAACATTCCTTCAAAATAATAATTTTTTGCATTATTGGTTTAATATCGAGCCTTCTTTATACTAGATTTATTTATTTACTAATATATAAATATTCAGAACAATTATTACTTATAAGTAGAAAAGTATAATCACTTATAAATAATAGTATTCAAACTGAGCTAGTTAACATAAAAAAGATCATAAATTATGATAAACTATCCGCTTATAATACGCCATCCATAAGAACTTTAACATAAGTACGTAACACGAAGTATTTTAATGAAGTGAAATTCATTTTGTATTGCTACAAAATTATGTCCCCTCTATTTAACAAGCTCGAAATAGACTTTAACTAAAAATATTAAAAATTAAATGTAGAAAAAATATTTGCCACTGTTGAAAGTTCATGATATTAAGAAGGCCATCTGAATTGCAAGTGAAAAAAAAAATCATTTAGGCCCTTTTTGATTGCAACGAATTCCATGGAAAATGTCACATCCGATGAAAACGAATTCCACTTTGACCTTTTGATTGCAAAATAGAAATGGAAATCGAATTCTAATGTACAACAGCGCATTTTCTTTGTTTTCATGGAAAATGAATTTTTATGGATTTGGTGAGTTTTTATTTTTCAACTAAAGTGATTGTACCTTGGAATTCGATTTCCATTTTCACGTTGTAATCAAACGGTCAAAGTGAAAATCGTTTTTCTCGAATGTAATATTTTCCATGAAATCTATGCTATGAAACGAAGCCTTAGGTTTATTATTAATCCGCATTTTCTTCAATCCCCTATTTCGACTAGAATAATCTTAGCTTTAACTTCTTTCTGTCTATCACCCCTCTCTCACACGACACCCTAACGTGTCCTTTTTCATCCCATGCCATTTTAATTATGTTCCAGTCTCCTTTTGCCCACTGTGCATTCCTTAAAAGAAAAAATCTTTTCGAAAAAAAAATTTACAATAATTCGATCGCTTATATACCAAAAAATATCGATAAAAGAAAAAATGACAGTTGATTTTGATTTGAGTTGGGCTTGACTTGACTAGATTGAGATTTGAGTAGTCCAAAAAAAGAATACGGTATTTTCCATTAGGGTTATTGGCGCAAAACGTCCCTACCTTTGAAGGGTTGTGTGGAAAACATCCCTACGTTTGATTTTTTGGTGCGCAACGCCCCTACCTATCAAGTTTATTGTAGAAAACATCCATACCTTTCATTTTTTGGCACAAAACGTCCCTACCTTCTGCATTTCTTTGCACTGAACGTCCTTTACACATTTTTTTTAATTCAAAATGACCAATATACCCTCCTATGTAAATTGAACAAGAAAAGAAAAATAAAAAAAGAAAGGGTAATTGGCGCAAAACGTCCTTACCTTTGAAGGTGTTTGTGGAAAACACCCTACCTTTCATTTTTTGGTGTAGAACATCCCTACCTTTCACATTCTTTGCGCTGAAGGTCCTTTTCACCAATTTTTAATATAAAATGACCCTTATACCCTCCTATATAAATAAAACAAAAAATAGAAAAATAAAGAACTAATTACAATCAAAGTCCTAAACGTTTTTAAAAAATACAAGTGAGTCCAAAATTTATGAAAATATTAAAAATAAAAATAAAAAATAAAACCCCCTATCTTCTCCTCTGCCTCTCTTCGAGTGGGGTCCCTTTTATATTACTGGGTCAATAATCCCTTTTATTTTTTTTATTTTTAATATTTTCATAAATTTTGGACTCACTTGTATTTTTTAAAAACGTTTAGGACTTTGATTGTAATTAGTTCTTTATTTTTCTATTTTTTGTTTTATTTATATAGGAGGGTATAAGGGTCATTTTATATTAAAAATTGGTGAAAAGGACCTTCAGCGCAAAGAATGTGAAAGGTAGGGATGTTCTACACCAAAAAATGAAAGGTAGGGTGTTTTCCACAAACACCTTCAAAGGTAAGGACGTTTTGCGCCAATTACCCTTTCTTTTTTTATTTTTCTTTTCTTGTTCAATTTACATAGGAGGGTATATTGGTCATTTTGAATTAAAAAAAATGTGCAAAGGATGTTCAGTGCAAAGAAATGCAGAAGGTAGGGACGTTTTGTGCCAAAAAATGAAAGGTATGGATGTTTTCTACAATAAACTTGATAGGTAGGGACGTTGCGCACCAAAAAATCAAACGTAGGGATGTTTTCCACACAACCCTTCAAAGGTAGGGACGTTTTGAGCCAATAACCCTTTCCAATATAGATATTTAAGGTATCTCGTTCATAACAATACAATTTAAATGACAAGCTTAAAAAGAATAGAAAGTAATGCTACCATGATATACGTACTGAAAAAAAATGCCATTTTGAAATATTTCTTGACAAGGATATTTCACATTGTAACAATTAAAAGTTTGGAGTATAACGGACATTTATAAAAGTTTATATAGTGAAAACGGATATTTCATCAATAAAAAAGTAATTTTGACCTCCTTTATTTTATTGAACCAAGGTTAGGCCTCACACTCTCTCGTAAGTAAAATACTTGAATTTTTTATTTAGCATGAAAAATAAAATTTTCAAAGAATGTGTAACTAAAAAGTATGAAATTTTTTTGGGAAATTGTAAAGGAAAAAAATAAAAAATTAGAATATGGTTGAAAATAATTGTGGAGAAACATAATTTTTAAATTTTCAAAACGTGGGCTTAATAACTTTGAAAAAATAACTTGAAGAAGAGGAGAAAAACGTGAATACATTGACCAAGAAAGATTGGTTGGATAAAAAGGAAAGGTGGAGCATGTTGCCTTCCTAATTGGGGCGTTTGTGCCCATTTTTGGGTGCGGGGGTGGAAATAAATTTTCTATTATGTGATAAATAAAGAAAAAAATATTTGATTTATGTGTAAAATATTTTTTTAAAAAAAAATGAATTTTTGAAAAAATGGAGGTCAAACATAGGCTTGTTATTGCAAATGTTTTTGTGGGATTGTTTAAAAAATTTCTTCTATTTTAAGATTGTATATAATCTTAAATTTAATATATATAACTATATAAAGTATTTGTATATAGTTTATCCAACTAATATTTACTATTCAAAATAAGTTTAATCTAATTGTATGAACGACTTGAATAGTTCATTCCCCCTTCCACCAGTGTGGAAGAAAATCGAAGAAGAACGACTTCGTAGACCTTGGCTTGTAGCAACTAAAGAATTGGTGAACAACAACATCAACGAATTGAATAATTTGAAAAATATGTTTTAAATTTAAAACTTTTGGAAACTCGTAGAACTATTATTAGGGTTGGACATGATATAATTCAGTTCGATTCTTCGTAAAATCGAATCGAACCCGAATTTTTGGGTATTTAATAAATGGAACCGTTCGAGTTTGGTTCGATTCCATTCAGTTCTCG